GATTTTCTATTTCTTTCTGAGGCAGCTTTGGCAGTTTGTCTTTCTGGGAATTTGTCTCATTCATCTAGGTTACCTAATTTATTGGCATACAGTTGTTCATAATATCTCTTTATACTTCTCTTATTTCTGTAAAGTCAGTAGTGATGCATTCTCTTTCACTCCTGATTTTAGAAATTTGAGTCTTTTCTCTCTTTTTCTTGGTCAGTCCAACTAAAGGTTTTTTCAATTTTCATGATCTTTCAAAAAGCCACTTTTGGCTTTGTCGATTTTCTCTAGTTTTTTTTTTTTTACTCTTTATTTCACTTATTTTCACTCTAATCTTTATTCCTTCCTTCTGCTTGCTTTAAGCTTAGTTTGCTCTTTTTTGTTCAGTTTCTTAAGGTGGAGGATTAGGTTATTGATTTGAGATCTCTTTTGTTTTTGTATAGGTATTTACAGCTATATATTTCCCTCTGAGCACTACTCCTATACTCCACTGCTACTCCCTCTGAGCAGCATCCCATAAATTTTGGTATGTTGTGCTTTCTTTTCCATTTATCTCAAGGTGTTTATTAATTTTCCTTGTGATTACTTCTTTGACACTGGTTATTCAGGAGTGCAATATTTAATTTCCACATTTTTGTGAATTCCCCAAATTTCCTCCTGTTATTGATTTATTATTTCATTCCATTATGATTGGAGAACATACTTTGTATAATTGCAATCATTTTACATTTATTGAAGCTTGTTTTTTAGCCTAGCATATGCTCTGTCTTGGAAAAATGTTTCTTGAGTGCTTGAGAAGAGTGTTTATTCTGCTTCTATTGGTTGGAGCATTCTCTAGATGTCAATTAGATCAATTTGGTTGATAGTATTGTTCCAGTTTTCTATATCATTGCTGATTTTCTGTCTACTTGTAGTACCCATTATTGAGAATATTAATTCTCCAACTATTATTGTTAGATTATTCATTTAACTATTTAATTTTGTCTGTTTTTTCCCCATGCATTTTGGGGATCTTTTGTTAGGTGCATATATGTTTTTAGTTGTTATAGTTTCTTGACGAATCATCCTTTTTATCATTACAAAATGCTTTAATCTTTTAAATATTTCTCCAAGGTGTCACACTTCTCTCCAACCCACAACTACTCTAAAGCAGGTCTACATCATCTCTTGACCAAGTGATCTTCTAAAATGCAAAGTGGACCACATCACTCTCTTGCTTAAAATCTTTCTCTTCAATAACTACTAGATAAACTCTGCTAGGCCCAAGAGAGGAAGGAATCTTCCCAAGATCAAATTAAGACCATGACAGAGCTAAGACTACATCCCAGGTTTCCCAACTGAATACTCCCTTTACTGTATGTACCACTGAGCTGGGTACTCTGGACCGCCTTATTCAGTCCTCATTTAATTATCCTTCTTGTTTGAGAAGCTGGAAAGTCAAAAAGTCCACTTTCTATACTCACTTGCAGCCATAGTTCTGGAGGTAAAATAGGGTCTATCAATTAGAATCAACTCTTCAAGATTTGGAAGGCAAATGTGACATCTTCCAGTTACATTTTACCTGTTCCTGACAAGTGAATTGTGCAGCCTTGCCACACAAATAACATTTGGATGTTCATTCATCAGCATTGTCTGCCAATAATCAGTTATGGTGGTGACAGCAGCAGCTGTGGTTTTTCACTTTGGCTTTGGTGTACTCTTGAGTTCATGGATGCAGTTGTAGCCTCATAGGTACTAGCGATACTAGTTAGTTTTTACTTTTGTTTTTGTTTGTTTTGAGAGGTACTCTGTAAATTCTGCCCTGGGTGGGGCTGCCAGAACCATGATCCATGCTCCCAATTCTAATGGGGACCCCATTATCCTGGGCCCCAGGGTTCACACTCACGATCTTAGACTGGAGCCCACAGACCCAGTGGCAACACTGTAATCCCACTTCTGGGAGTACTTAAACCCTCAAGCCCACATTCTGGATTTCCTAAACCCTGCCTTAAGGGCCTCTAGGCTGAGAATCTCTGATCTGAGCCCCTGACCCACCCAAGACCCCCAAGTCCAGTTCTGGGGCTCTGGGGCTCAGATTTGAGCACACAGACACATTGAAGATGGCTTACACCAGCTTGGAACCCCCATCTAGAGAACCCCACCAGACCAGGACCCCTACCTTTAATGATGCCTATGCATAGACTCACTCCAGGGTCCCTCAAGCCAGATGGGGTTATTTTGGATTGGAAGGGGATTTCAAACCTGATCCTTTTTCCCCATCCCACCCATCCAAGAACTGCCCTCCCTCAGAAGCCCAAACCCTATTTCGAAAGGATCCTCCAGCCCCCCGCCAGAGGACAGGTCCCTACCACAAGGCCTCATATTATTCCTCTATGTCCAGCTGCCAGAAATGCATATTTTGTAGGGAGAGGGCAGGCTCAGGAGCAAAGCTGTCACCTGACCCGTTTTTTCCCTCGGGAATTTTAAGTCTCAGCCATGTTCTCTGTTAGATGGTTTTTTGAAGGGTGGTGGCTCTAGGGGAGGCAGGGGCCTGGGATGGGCCCTGGGGAATGTGCTTACATGACTGAGGTGGCAGCAGCGGTGGTAATAGAACTCTGGTTGGTCAGTTCTGTATTCTTCTGGGAGTTATTCCTTGAGACTCCACCTAGAACCTGTTCCTCTTTTCCTTCCAAATAGTTTGTAGGCATGTAATTTTTTATATTAAATTCCTTCTTACATCTAAAATACAGATGGGAGGGGCACTGGGTGGCTCATTTGGTTAAGTGTCTGCCTTCAGCTCAGGTCATGATTCCAGGGTCCTGGGATCAAGCCCCACATCGGGCTCCCTGCTGGATGGGGAACCTGCTTCTCCCTCTCCCTCTGTTGCTCCCCCTGCTTGTGCTTGGTGTGCGCTGTCTCTCTGTCAAATAAATAAATAAAATCTTCAAAAATAAATAAAAATAAATAAAAATAAAAAATAAAATACAGATGGGTTTTCTGCCCCTTACAGTGATTCCTGGTTGATACAAACATCTCCCAAATTACAGTTATGACCTCCTTAAAAACATACACATCCTCTTAAATAACACATCTTTCCTCTATAACCAGATATCTTTATTGCCCATACACAAGACTGGATGGATTCTAGGCCCCAGTGTATCTAATTTTTGTCCCCTGGCTGGATTTTGTTGCAAGAGGTTTTTCTCCAAGTAATTTATCAGGGTGTCAATAAACAAATCAATCCCATTACTTGGTCTCTTAGCCATCTTGTTCACATATTCAAACTAATTAACTGTTAGCAATGAAAGTAAGGCCTTTATTAATATGAGTTTGTTACTGTACCATCTTGCCAGTCTCTGCTTTCCCATTACCTCATTCCTCAAAAATCACAAAGAACAGACAAGTTCTTGTACCAAAGTAGACTAGTACTAACATGGAAAAATTACTGGACTCTGAGAAGACAAGGATACTTATTTCCTCAGTTGTTTTATATCCTTGTAACGATAGCTTTTGCAAAGTTAAGTCCAGTTCTGTCAGATTTAGTTGATGTACAATTTGACAATGCAAAGCTGTATTCAAGGGATTAATAGAGTATTCTTGATTGCCTCTTCTCCCTGCACCCCAACCTGAGTTCAGGGTATTCACAGGTTTCAAGAAATCCTCTGTGTTACTCAGGATTCTTCAGAGAAGCAGAACCAACATGATATCTTTATCTATCTATATATAGATATTTATGACCATACCAATATGACACATATATATCTCCAACATGGCTATAATCACATATTCATAATTATAATTATATATTTGTATCTATCTAGGAAGTCCAAAATCTGGGAAGAGTTGATGTTGCAGTTCAAGTCTAAAGGCTATCTGCTAGCAGAATTCTCTCTTGCTTGGGGAAGGTTAGTCTTTTCTTCTATTCAGGCCTTCAACTGACAGATGAGGCCACCCACATTATAGCAGGTAACCTGCTTTACTCAAAATCCACAGATTTAAATGTTAATCGCACCCAAAAACACCCTCACAGAAACATCCAGAATAATATTCGACCACATATCTGGGCATCATGGCCCAGCCAAGTTGGCACATAAAATTAACCATCATGTCCTCTAAGAGTGTAGGGTGAGGGAAATAGAGCCTCAGAATGTTAGCCGCAAGTGGGTGAATACACTAGAGGTCTCCAAATTTCTCCATTACCACTTCTGAGGAACTGCTTATGAACTGGGAAGTTCAGACAAATGGGTAGGCCCAGGACTCTAAGTATTTTATAGGATTCAAAATTTACAACTTGTGCCTCCTTTTTAAATTTTTCTTCAGATGGGACCATTGTAGATTAGGGAAGTTTTGTCAAAAGGAAGAGAAGTGGAAAGAGTAACTCCATCTGCAAGAATTATTATTGAGGTCAGACCTCATTTTTACACTACTTAAGAAATGAACGCTGTCCATTTATTTAAAAAAATAAAGATGATAATTAGAAACATGGAAAAATAGTTAAGATGACACATTGTTACAGCTATAAAAATAGAAATATCGATGTTAAAACATTACATGTTTAAACAAAAATGTAAAGAACACAAAGATACGCTAATGGCATGAGGTTTGTTTTTGGAGTAATGAAAAATTCTAAAATCGTGGTGATGGCTGTACAACTCTGTGAACATACTAAAATCCATTTCTTTGTACACCTTAAGTTGGTGCATTGTATGACACAAAATTATATCTCAATAAAACTTAACAACAACGAAAAGAACGCAAAGAGCAAATAAAGGTAGCCAACGGGGAGACTTGGCAAGGAAATGGTGAGCTAAGAATAGGAATGGGATTGACGAAGGAAGGATGGGCTGCAGAAGGGATGGTGATGGAGGCCGGTGAGACCAAGGGGAGGAGAGGTGGAAGAAGCAGGATGGGCTAGGGCACTGGGCCCTGGGGAAAAGGTGAAGAAGGCCCGAGGGTTAACCCCTGAAAGGCGGTAATGGGTGGGGGTGGAGAGAAGAGGGCGTACTCCGCGCATGCGCCAGAAGCATACTGCGGCGGTCCCGGGGAGGCCGTGCTTTAACTGGCATCCTCGCTGTGGCTGCAGGCGCCGCTGGTTCTCTTTCGCCTGTCCAGTTCTACCTTGGCCTGTGCAGCCACCCTAGATCCGCGAACTTTGTGCCGCCGCTCCCTCTACCCTGTCTTGCGACGGCCAGCGCTAAGAATTCACGCTACGACACTCGGTTCAGCCAGGAGGTAGGAGAAGAACATGGAGGGCGGCGGAGGGAACTCGGGACGGGGAGATTCTTGATCTGTGTATTCTCCCGGTTCACGAGAGGAAAAAGTGGGGGACAGCATGGGCCTCAAGCCTACAAAAGGATGTTGAGCGTTTACTTTCCATTGTGAAAGGATACAGACTCTAATCAGGGTTGAGGCACATGAGCGTCGCTGTTTTCCATAACGTTCTGTTTAGAAATTTGGGGTTCCTCTTACGTAGCAGAAGGTGTATTTAAAGGATGGGCCTTAGTACTAGGCTCATCCAATTATAAGGGCTTTCTTTGCCTTTGTTCCGGGTGGGGGGTCTTACTACTGAGTCTGAGGGTACTCCAGCTCCTCCCTGGGGGCCGGGGCGGATTCCATCTAGATTTGCTCTCTGCGGTCACCTGCAGTGTTTCCACTTCCCTAGTGTATCACACGTAACTCCCATTAGGAAATGCTCGTAGTGTCTCTCCTTGAGTAGTGGGGCACAGCTATGGCGAGAAACATGTCCAGATAGCGTCAGGCATGTGTGTATAAGAAGCGGAGGAGGGAGGGCAGGGAATTGGAGAGGACGGCCTTGGTGCGCATGTGTATTTGAGAGGTTGGGGGAGGCGCGGGATCACGCACGTATATTTGAGAAGGCCTGATGCGAGGGGGAAGGGGCCCCAGTTGGGGAGAATGGGAGGTAAGCACGCGTAAGCTTGGGGCGTTGCGGGGGGGGGGGCGGCGTCGAAAGCGTAGCTAAGAAAGCAAAGTTTCTAGTACACAGTTGGCAGCCGCAGTTGGGAGGGAAAGTGAAGGCGCGCATGCGTATTTGAGACGACATTGTGACGGTTGGCTTTAGGAGGGGAGAGGAGCGCAGGCGTATTTCAGACAGAATGACGGGGAGGGGAGGCGCGCGCCGTAGGTGTAATTAAGATTGCAAAATGGCGAGGGGGGAGGTAAGTTGTCTTTGCTTGGCCGTCTTGGGCTAGGGGGCCCTGCAGAGAAGTAGAATCTGCCTTTCTGGTTGGGTGAGGGGATCTGCCGAGCGGGAGATGTCCTAGGCTGTGGCCAAATCCACCAGAAATTAACTCAGAATCTTAGCCTTTCACTGGCCCATTGATATATATGGGTTTGAAAATGCCGAGGCGATGATGACTGTCCAAAAGGTTTCGGCAGCTGGCTGTGTGTAGGAAATGGGTAAAATGGGACCACTGGAGCTAGGCTACATTCCGGTAATACACATTTGGAAGGCTCTCTGTCAGACTTTGGGCCACTGTACTTGGCTCTGGACACATTCTCTCATCCCATCAGAGTAGCAGAACACGGTGATTGTAATATTGTGAGAATCTACTGTTAGGTTAGGCAGAAGCTCTTGATGTCCCCCACTGCAGAATATTGGTGTGAGGATTTGGCTGTGTTTCCAAGTGCTTGTTACACTTAAAACCTAGGATTTGGGCAAATGGTAATGATGGTATGAAGGTGACCTTTCCTCCAAATTATTTTTTTCTGTAAAACTTTAGCCTAGGGGGAAGATTTTTTGAGGTAGCTGTACTTGTCATGGATCTCAGAGGGCTGTCAGTGAGGATCTACTGTAAATCGCTAAAACTAATAGTTTAGCACTTAAATGTGTAGCACAAAGGGCACAGAATTCAAAATAGAAGAAACCGTTCTTGCCCAGTCATCCTAGCTATGATCTCATACTGGTCCTTTTCCTTCTCTAAGCCCATTTCGCTATAGTAATAATTATATTTAAACGTCTATAGCACTTAAAACTATATGCCAGCTACTGGTCTAAGTGCTTTTACGTGTGCCTTAACTCATTTAGTACTCTCGACAATCTTAAGAAATAGCAGTACCATTATTCATATTTTACAAATGAGAAATGTGGGGGACACAAGATTAAGTAGTTTGTCCAAGGCTTTACATCCATCTGAATGGCTGAAACTGGATTTTCATCCAGGTTGTATGGCTCCATTAATTCTGTGCTCTTGAACATTATGCTTTATTCCCCTGAAATGAGGGTTCAAAATTTAAAAGACCCTTCTTTTATGATTTCAGATTTTGTTTGTAATTTACCTGTGCTGTTTAAGAAAGGAGACCTGTTTGCTCTTGGCTGCTTTTTACTCCGTGCATTGTACAGGGTTACAGCTGTAGAAGACAAAAAGTAAAGAATTGTTGATTTGGAGCCTACCGGGGTGGCCATCCTTATCTACCCTTGTCTTCTATGCTTTTTGTTCTGCAGAGGGTTTAAAATGGCCGACTGCGGCAGGCTGGACACACCCTTCTTGTTTTGCCTGATTTGAGATCTGGTCAAATGCTCTGAGACAGCGGTCTTTTGCTGCAGTAGAGATTTTTTTTCTTACCCATTATTAATATTTCGGTGTGTTAATACAAATGTCCAATAGTAAAGGAAAGGTTCTTGTTTTTTTTTTTTCTTATAATAAAAGACTGAAAATACATGCATTTCTTTTACTATTGGTTAGGATGGATTCACTGAAGTGCAGTCACTCTGTCAGTGTTTTTAACACTCCGCGTATACTGACAGATTTCATTCTGAAAAGGTCGTACCAATTTTTACTCACACAAGCATTGGGTCGTGTTCGTTTTGAAAAATATATGTTACGGATAACAACCAGTATTATTTTAATTTTGCATTAATTTGGTTATTAGGGAGTTTGGACTCCTTTTTCCTCCATATATTTCTTAGCAGTTTCATTTTCTTTCATGTGATGTTAGTTCAGGTCTTATACTGATTTATCTGTTGCAGTTTTAGTTTAGTGTTACTGTTATCTATTCGAAAGTGTTCTTCAAATTAAGGCTGTTACTCGAATTTCTGCAGTGTTACATACTCCAAGTTATTGTTTGCCTTTTAATTTTTGTTTTTAAATTTGGGGTTAGTAGAGATTCGAAAGCAAGTGGTCAAATCTCTTATCTTCTATTTTGTGATTTTTCTTCCGTTGTTTAAGTTTGAATAGTTCCCTCAATCTAGAAATTTGGTAAATATTCATTGTAGCTTTGTCTGAGGATAACCATCAAGTTTGCGGAAAAAGGATCTGTAATTTCACCACCCAGAGATAACCCAGTGTTTATAAATGTGTTCACGTCTTTTCATTCCCTGCATTTTTCTACAGTTGATCATATATTTGTACTATTTTAAGTTGTGTTTTGAGTTTAACATTATAACATGCATTTTTCCACGTTAAACATTCTTGCAATTGTCATATAATGGTTTCATGATACCTTGATGCCTGAAAAATTTTTAAATTTTCAGTATTTTAAATGATGTAATGAATGCCTTTTCATTTTCATTTAGTTTTTATCTATTTTGAGTTATTTCTTTATAGAATAGAGTTCCAGAATTAGAATTGTTCATCAAAAAGTTTGAACGTTATAAAGACTTGCTATAGTAACATTTGAAAAAAATTGTCATTTTTTTCTGTACCCAGTTATTTAGGTATTTAGAAAAATCTTTTTTGCTACCTTATATGTAAGAGAATGGTATCTTTGTTTTACGATCCATTTCTCTGATTCCTGGTGAGGCTGGATTCTCAAATGTTAATTATTAGCTCTTTGTGAACTATTCGATTTGGGTCTGAATGTTATGTATTTGTAAGAGCTCTATACTATGTGTGCTGTAAAAGGATCTATTATCCCTTGTCATTTATTGCAAATGACAAATGCGATTTGTTGCACATATACTCCCGGTATATGTTGCCATTGAGTCTTAAGAAATGTTTGTGATTCCAGGGACAACTGCTTCGTGGGATACATGTCAGATTCTTGGTAGCCATTTTGAGATAACATTTGTCTGTCCTTTAAATAGATAGCCATGTCTTTTTATTTAAAAAGAGAGCACTCTTGAGTGCTGCATAGCATTGGTACGTCCTGGCTATGAGTGTGGAAAGAAGACTTGGCAACATTTTGTCCCTAATAAGAAACCAACTTAGACAAGACACGAAACAATAGAGCCCTCTCCCCATCCGTTCTGGGACTGATCTTATTTCGAATACTTAGGAGTGATCTGGAGGAGGATATGGACATAGTGTAATGTCCACATTTATAGATAACACTAAGCTCTTTGGGGGTGTAAAATGCTAGGAGGAACAAACTGCAACGCCTGAGAAGGCCTTGTGAATGTGGGCTGACAGTGGCAGAATGGAACAGTGTAGGCAAGAGCAATATGATTACTTTAGGGGGAAATAGCATGTTAAGCATATAAAAGTGGCCTCAGAGACATTGGGTCCCAAGACGGGGATCTCAGTGTAAATGGCAGCAATCTATTGATGTCATCAGCTCAGTTTGCTGGTGCAGAGACGGAAGAGCCATTAAAATCCTAGGCCTTATTAGGAACAGTATGGGACACGGGAAGAAGTCCATCCTGTCTTTGTATAAGACCATCTGAACCAAATGATTAGTTAACACTAGTAATCTCTCCTCAGGGAGTCTCTTACTATCACTCAGTGTTGAAAAGTGGTTGGGAAGAGTGCATTACCTCCTTGTTTCATTTTTCTTATTTATTTTGTTATTTACGATTATGTAGGTAATTTAGAATAGATATTCCTAAAGGTTTTGGGGTGAGGTGTCTTGGAAGGTTTCCTGAAACTGGGTCTGTTATTTGTGGTTCAGAGAATCTGTTTAATTTTATTTATTAAGTAAACCTCTCTAAATTATTCCCAATACATGGGCTCTATACTATCTCATATATTTAATAACATTCTAATTTTTACTTTTTCAGTGAAGGGTAGGATTTAGAGGTGCCAAGTGATTTGTTACTGCTTTTTGCTATCCAGTTACACTGGGTTAGTCCAGGTAGTCGTTAGCCCCCATTTTTCAGCATTTTGTTAGTTGCAGGTATTAAACGAGGCTTATTGTGTGTGGGGGGGGAGGTTGACAGATGTATAATAAGCAAAACAAAACAACAGAGCTTGTATTGTAGAGGAGGTGGTTGAAGAAGATCCTTTACGGGATGTCTCTGCCCATCCTAAGCGTGGGAGTTCCCAAACCCATCTCTGATCAGGAGTTAGGGAGAGTGTGGGTATTTGAAATAGCCTAAAAGCCTTTAACCTTTGATTTCTACTATTTGTTCCTTCCCTCTCTTGATGTTACAGCCAGCAGCAGCCTGGAGGAGCGCCCCCTGGAAAGAAATTTTACATCGGCCATTATAATACAACCTGATAAGTGTTGCAGCACTTACCAGGTTGTATTGTAATTGTCTGTGTATATGCCTGTCTCCCTTCCTATGTTCTCAGTTAGACTGTAAGCTCCTTGAGGGCAGGGACAGTGTCTTCTCCAGAGCCCAGCCTGGCACATTAGTAGGCCTCAGTAAATGTTTATTGGATGAATAAATGAATGAGTCATCAACAAACATTTATCGTGTGCCTGCTAAGGTGATCTCCACAGGCTCTGGACTGTCAACTGTTTATTCAAAATGCATGTGGTCAGAAACGTGCTATTTCTTTGTGGTTATGCATCCAAAGAGTTTTTCTGAGATAATGCTGTTTTTGTGTTTGGATTTCAGTCCTTGGTATTTACAGATGTTGCTACCGTTGCAGCTGCTGACACTCTCTTCCTTGGTGGGACCTGGGTGGTAGCTGCCAGATCAGGAGCCTCATCCTCACTGCCCAGTGTTAGCTATCTGTAGACTCATCCCCTTTCCACTTCTCTTCAGGTCATCCTTCAAATGGTGTTCCTAGGTAGGGCTGCACGTTCTAGATCAGGGGTAGGCAAATGCAGCCCGTGGGCTGCCTGGTTTTGCAAATAAAGTTCTGCTAGAACACATGTTATTTGTTGATTATTTTGTCTGCGGCCTTTCCGGCCTGCAACAGCGGTGTTGAATGACTACATCAGAGACCTGGTGGCCCATAAAGCCTGTCCTTTACCGAGAAAGATTGCCTGCCCAGCTTTGGATCATTACTCGACTGTGATGGTTTCATGTGCCTCTCCATTCACCAAAGATATTTCTAACATCTCAGAAACTCATTTATTTACCTCATTCATTATTGCTTATAACAGGTCTTTTTCCTATTTTACAGGTGGGCCAGCTAGAACACACTTCAAACTAGATTGATTATAAGGCCTCTACCAGGGTCCGACAGTTAGTCAGTTATACCATGTACTTCAGCATCAAGTTTGGAGCTTCATCTCTAGAAATTCCGTTTGTTAAATCCTAACCTGAAGACCGTGGCCATATCATACCTTGGTGCCTTATCCCTTGCCCCCCCCCCCCTTCCTGCACAGCTCTTTGCAATGAGAATATGGAAAGTAACAAGTTAATGTGAGCTAAGGCAGAAAGGTAGGCCAAGGCAAATGTTTACGGGGTCTGAATGCTAATACACAAAGAAATGGGGTTTCTGAAATACTTACTTAGACTTCATACAGTTAGGGAGCCTGGACTTCCAAGAGCTTAGGGCCTTCCCCTTTACCCTCCCTAACCTTCCACACATTGTCTTGGAAACCTGCCTATGGGTGTATTGTGATTCATTTCGTGTCATTAAAAAGTTGAGAGCTCCCAAGTCCAATTCAAGGAAGCTAGATCTAAAAAACAAACAAACAAAAAGGAAAGAATATAGGATAGTCTCATTCTAGAAGTAAAATGGTGGGAAAGGCCCTTACAGCATTGTTTTTCAAGCTGCTTGTTGGATTTTCCCCAGCATTTTATTGTGAAAAATTTTAAATGTACGTATAGAAAAGTTGAAGAACTGTACATTGAAAACCCATCTAACTACCAACTGGATGTTGCAATTAATATTTTGCTATATTTGCTTTATTGCATATTTATCCATCTTTGTCGGATAGGTTTTTTAAATGCTTGTGGTGGTGTCCATTTTGAGCTCATCTGTATCTGACCCACATGGTACTGAAAAATAGTTTCTTTTTATTCTTATCTATATTTCCCAAGTTGGAATGGATACTGCTGCAGCCTAACTATGTATAAGCAGATCTGCCTGGTAGTGAGATTCCAGGGAGAGAAGCCATTTGACGCCTGAAAGAAAATGTTTACAGTTCACTGTTTACTGGAAATGGTAGCAGAAGAAAAGATGGAAGTCCAGGTCCAGTCTCAGTGAATCTTTCCAATCAAATATTGCCCTACACTTCATTCACTTCACTGCCTGGGGGGAGGGGAACAGGTCGTTTTCTGAGCAGCTTCTGCCTGGTTCTTAGACTTGAAGGAAAAACAACAAGGTCACATCAGAATGCCCCCTAGGTGATTAAGGATTAGCACAACTCCTTGGAATTTTAGCAGATGGATTTTTAATTTGGAGTACGGTCGAATCATATTCTTTTGGACCTTTTCTATTAGCAATAGCCACAGAGTCAATTTGGGAAGCACCACGAACTGAAATCTTAATTTCTCTTCGTCATGAACATGATAATGGTAAACGTTACCTGTTTGTGTCTGTCTCCCTTCATTTAAACTCAAGGGCAGAGACTGTATCGTACTCATCTTTGTAATTCTCATAGTAATAAATGTTTGAATCATTAAAAATGTATTGTTACATTTAATACCTATCACATGGGCAAATATTAAAAAAAATGTTATACTGATGTTGGTGGGGTTACCCAGTTTCAGTGTAATCTTTTGTAGGGTCAGTTGGCAATATATAATGTGGCAGAATAAAAATTGTATGTCTTTTTGACCACAAAGTTTCATTTTTAGGGATATACCCTGAAATATTCTAAAGAAATCCTAAAGAAATATTCTAAGGATATTCTAAAAGATGTAGGTATGGGAATGTTTACAATGTTCATAGCAATAAAAAATGGAAAAACACCTTGCCTCTTCATGAATAATCATTTGGGTAGATAAATTTTGATGTTTTCATGTAATATTACAACATGGCATTAAAAGTAAAAATAGTCTTGTAGACGAATATTTTACTTGGAAAAATGTATCAGGTGTATTAGTTGAAAAAAAAGCTAGAGGGCAATAGTATGGTTTTCATCCAGTTTTTGTGAAATAAAAATTCATGTTTGTTTGTGTACATGAAAATAATTAGGAGAACATACCCCGAGTGTTAAACTTTCTGAGATTCTGGGATTTTTTACTTTCCATCCTTAATATATTTCTGGAACTTTTTTCACAGTGTGTATTTATGACCTTCACAGTTAGACAAACGGAAAGTATTTCCCTTTTGAAATTTGTTGACCTAAACAGAAGTAGAATAAATCGGGCAGCAGGGGGGCTGGAAACTGGAGTAGTTTAGTTTAGAAGAGAGCTAGGTGGAGTGGGAGAAGGGAATGGAAATAAGATCTCTGTCTTCAGAGAGAGGCACTAACTACCAACTACTCTATTCTTGGCTCCTTAGTGCAGGCATTTCATAGTAAGGTGTCTACACTGACATTTGCCATTTATTTCCCAATTATGCCCGGTACAAATTTCTCTCCCCTTCTTGTCCCTCTGGGCTGTAATAAGTTCAGGAATTGCTGTCGGCAGGTGCTGCTTGTAGGTGTGCAGATCGTGCTCTAGTAACAGCTGCTTTACTTTATCTAGTAAAGAGATGGCTCAGACTCATCAAGTCTCCTGCTCCCCTTCCCCACTTGCAGCAGGAGAGCTTTCTGCCAGGCTCTCAAGATTACTAGTAGACATTCTAAGACATTTTTGCCGATGGGGAATGCAGTAGTTAAAAATGAGCCCTGAGAAACTGCTCCTTGAATTTCCCTGGGGCTCAAGGGTTGTCTGCCTTTCACTGGGTAATAGGAAACCTAGTTGCATTCACTGGTGCTGCCAGCATCTAATGATTTTAATAGCTTGGGCTTTGGGCCATTGCTGAATTGCCAGATTTCTGGGTTGCTTTTCATGCTAAGCAGCTAGGGACTGGGAAACTTAGAGGCGTTAGGCGGCTTTCTTAGAAAGAAAGGACCCCTGGGGATCTTTGGCTTATCCTGTGTGGGTCTTAGGTCTCAGAGCCCCATTCCTTCCTAGGGGTTGAGTCTTGGGAGATAGGGGAGTAGCCATTGGCCTGCCTAGCTCCCTTTGATCATTTTGATAACCTGGGCAGCAGATAAGGCAATAGATACGTTTGATTCCTTTCACACACAGGTAAAGTGAGTCCTGGTGGGAGTTGAGACTGTGAATGACAGGCCTTGGCCCAGAGCCCATACTTTTCCTCATTAGTGTGAACCAAATGCCATCCAATGACTAGATAGAGGGAGGTTTCATCCACTTTTAGGGAGCTCTTTTTAGCCAGGATTACAGAATGGAGGGTCATAACTGCCAGACAGAAAAGGGCCCCTAAGAAATCAAGTTTACCCCACTCAGAGGTAGGGATATTGAAGTCTAAAGAGGGAAAGACTTGCAGGCAGCTAGGCAGATCAGCATGAGTTAATACCTGAGTTCTAACCCTTTGATACAGCCAGTTACTTGGTGTCTCTGTACCCGAGTTACCCATTTAAAATGGATATACGAATTCTTACTAAATAATAATTGTAGGCATTGCAACAGTCTGCCAGATAAAGAAGAGAGCAAAATCTGAGGTCCATGGTGTGGGCTGGATGACTTGACCAAGGTGGTAAAAGTAAATCGAAGCTGTATCTCAAACCTTGGCTATTCTGTCTTAATATTTGTTTCTTCTTCCTTCTCTCTATCCTACAGGTGACACCAGATGTGGTCAGAAGCCATGCCACTGGTGAAGAGGTATATTGAGCCCCGCCTGGCCCAGTGAGGTTACTAGAGAATTGGGAGAGGCTTAGATCAACATCCTGCACATGGTTATCAAATCAGTGTGAAATCTTGGTAAGTGGCTAGTGGCTTTGGCAGGCTAGCCCAGTTGGTGGGAAGGGGCAGGGAAGGTGGTCTTAGTAGGTATTAGGCGATTACATGATAGTTTCCCCATCATGGTATGAATAAAAAAGGTCTTAAAATGTTCAGACTGCACTAGAAAGTAATGAGCCTAACCTTTCAGTTTTTTCATTCTCCCATTTTTGCAGATGGGCGAATTGCTTATCTTGCCCAAGATTATAGCTAGTTGATGTAGGAAGTGGATTTTAATGTAAGCCAGTACTGTGTCTTCTACCCAGTGCTTCCTCTAGGTCCCATTTGAGTCCAAGGAGGCTGTGTGAGACAGAAATGTTTTTTATTCCACACTGAAAAATTTTTATAATAGCCTCTGAGGTGGTTCTTGCCCAATGAAGGAAATGTTCATGGTGTAAAAATTTTTTATGCAGAAAATCACCTGGGATGCCTGTTAAAAATGCAGATTCCTGGGCAGCCAGAAACCTTGTCATTGGTCAAGAGCAACACTAAGACCTACCTGTCATGTATATTGAGGCTTCCTGCCCAGTGGGTTCATCAGCAAGCCAGAACGAATCACCATTGCCATGTCCTTGTGAGGCAGTTGGGAAGCCTTGGTAAGTCGCTGGTGGTTTGGGTGGGGGTCCCCCAGTTGGGAGTAGAGAAGAGATGGTTGTGATGTGGCACTTCCTCCCTTCCTTAGACAGTTATTAATTGCTCACTAGTTGCCAGAGACTATTCTAGATATTAACAGTTCTGCCATCGTGGAACTTTCATTCTTGTGAGAGTAGACAACGGAATAAAGAACGAGTAAAAGCAGAAAGTATCATAAATGTTGAAGTTTTTCCATTACGGTATGAAAATTGTGTTAAAAATGGGTAGGTTAGACTAAGCAACACCTTGTGTTTTTTCCCCACTTCCCATTCTCCCTTTTTTGTTTTAAGATTTTATTTATTTATTTGGGGGAGAGAGAGGGAGAGCAAATGAGCACGCACAAGTTGGGGGAGGGGCAGAGGGAGAAGGAAAGAGAGAATCTCAAGCCAACTCCGCACTGAGCTTGGTGCTCGACGCGGGGCTCGATCCCACGACCCTGGGATCATGACCTGAGCCAAAATTAAGAGTCGGATGCTTAATTGCCTGAGCCACCTAGACGCCCCACCCCCATTTTCCCTTTTAATACTTGCCACTGTCTTTCAGTACACTGGAGGCCGAGCAAGCTGAGCATGGGGGGGGGGGGTCGTAGATGATGAAAGCAATCTTTTTCCTTTTTGTAACCCCTCACTAGGTTGAATTGGGAAGGATGTCTTTTGGAAAGTGTTTGAGAGAGTCTGCCAGCTCTTCCACACGAGTGAACATGTAGCAGAAGAGGGGGTCCTCTCAGTGATTAAGGTAACACAGTGACTAGGTAAATAGGGGAGGAAAGGATGACTGCCCTGACTCCTGTCAGGGAGGTTCGTAGAAATGTCCTTTCCAGGGGCCAGTACCTTTATAAAGTCTGCAGTTTATTCTGTCATACATCCTCCTCAAAACAATTGGGGTAAATTACATGCTTACCCAGTCTATGATCACCCCTGCAAAGGATCAGGACTGAAGCGGTTCCCAAGTAAACAGGGTTGCATAAGTTACATGTCACAGATACGTAACCCATAAGGGGAGAGTCTATTCTTTCTAACCAGATTTGTTGGGAGTTTTTATTAGACAGTGGAGCTACATACATCTTGTCAAAAGTCAGCTCATAGCAGAGGCTCATTATTTCAGCAGCAGCCAAGTATATAGCACTTTGGGTTACTAATTTCAGAGGCAGCAGGGTCTTCTGGATTGCACTTAAACCAGCTGGACTAGTATTCATTTTTGGCTCCTAAGGGGTCCAGCCCCTGATAGGCTCCAGGGAGCACTTACATGGTCCAGAGTTAAAGTGGGCAGCATATATAGTATGACCATCCCTGGGCTATCTCTGTAGAGGCCCACCCCTACTCTAAGCTCTTTTAAAGAATGCCAGATCATTCCTTGGTGTCTGCCATTTTTCATAAAAGTAATAAAGGTCACCTTTTCCCATGAGGATGGTCTTGAGATGGTGCCTTCATAGCATAAGTTTCCCCATATGATCTCTGGAATATTTGGATAATTCCTACTGACAGAATTAGATAATTAGCCTGTGCCGGGAACCTGAATGATAGGAAAATTGTCTTTTCCCTAAGGAGAAGCCTGGGATAGCCATTCATACAAAGGGAGTTCCCATATTCCATGTCCTTCACAACTTATTTTTTTAAGATTTTATTTATTTGTTAGAACGAGAGAGAGAGAGCACAAGCAAGGGGAGTGGCAGGCAGAGGGAGAAGCAGGCGCCCCACTGAGCCGGGAGCCCGATGCGGGGCTTGATCCCAGGCCCCTAGGATCAGGACCTGAGACAAAGGCAGATGCTTAACCGACCAAGCCACCCAGGTGTCCCCCTTCACAGCTTATTTTTAAAATGACATTGGTCTTGTATAAGGATATGAATGTTAGCTTGCTGTCAAAAACCAAGTCTTCCTATCTCTTTCTCTATATGGGCCAAAATGGATTATATAAATCTGGCTTTTGCTATCTGAACCCCAGTTCTTTTCCTAGGGTTTCCATATTCCCATTATCTGCTCTTTTTTTTTGTGACAGCAGGTCTGTTGTGGTTTTCTTTTTTTTTTTTCTTTTGTCGTTCTTTTTAGGCTAGCCATCACCCCTGTAATAGCACCCATGCACAACTTTTGAAGATTTTCTGTCTGAGGTCATATAACAATAACAGTGATTATCAGTTAATTATAAGTGCCTTTTATGTTCTAGGCAAGGGGTTTGAATGTATTTGTCATCTCATTTTAACTTAACAGTAACCCTGGGAAGTCTGATTTGTTCCTGCTTTACAGACAGTAAAGCTGAGGACCAGAGAGGTGGTGTCCCCAGCATGCCACAGGTAGCCAGTGGTGGAGCTGTATGTGTCACACTCCAAAGATCTGAACTACCTTACTGTCCTTGAAGCACTAGATGTGGGGAGCGTATTCTTCATTGTTGGGACTTCCTGCCTCCTCATGGGGCCCTTGTCACTGTCTTCTTCCGGGACACGGGGGGCACATGTGAAGGGTTTGTTTTCAAAAGGGGATTCAGATGTGCAAGAGAGATGGTTTGAGGGCTGTGTAGGTCCCTTCAGTTTCTAGAAATAACCACTCTGGGTGAACTAGCCTTTATTCCCACCCCACCCTCAGCTATTCACTGTGTGCTTATCTTTGTTGGCTTTTCACCTTTCAGTATTCCCCCCCACCGTCCTGCATGATGTTTGCGTTGCACAATTTCTATGAGGTTATGTTTTCTTCTACCCCCCAACAAAAAGGAATCACGAGAGTCAGAGTCACAACTGAAAATCCACTGCTTACAGAATGTTAGCTCAGGTGTAGGTGCACCAAGGGCTGGAGCAGTTTGCTGTGCAGATCACTGTGTCCCAGCTGGAATTCAGCATAAACATTGCATTCTGCTAGCAGATGGTACTGATAAGATTACTCTGTGTATGTATCGAGTGGAAAATAACAGGGATACCTATCAGTTAACACTTGGCGTAAATTTTATTGCTGGTAAGGTAACGGTGTCCAGATAGTTGGCATAGACTTAGTTTTGGCAAGCTATGGCCCACATGGCAGCAGCTTGTTTTTGTAAATCCGCAGTTTTGTTGGGAGACAGGATCATGCTTATTCTCTATTGCCCACGGTTGCCTTTTGGGCTGCAGTAGTGCTGAGTATTTGTGATGGACTCTGTGGTCCACGGCCTGAAGCGTTATCATCTGGCCCTTCACAGAAAGTGTGTCAACTCCTGGCACAGGTTAGATGTACTATGTCTACAAATCCTTGCCTCCCCCCTCCCATTTTCTTTTCTGTAGGGCTCGAATTTACAGCTAACTAATCCTAGAAAGTACGGAATTTCATAGTGGTCAGTTTGCCTCTGGATTTCCTCCCACTCAGATTAAGTTCACCAAGAAAGCACATTCACAGATTGGGCCATACACACAGAAAGAACTGTGTTTCATATGCCTCATTGTAGTTAATCATTTATCATATATGGTGCCCCCATTCTTTTTCTTCTTTTCAGAGATAACCATTTTAAAATTTAACCATTCTTAGGTATCCAAAAAGTTAGAGCTCATGTTTCCTAATTATGACTTTACCTAATTTTAATACATCTCCCCACTCTGTAGCATGAAAGCAGCTGTAGACAATATGGAAACAAATGGGCAGGACTGTGTTCCAACAAAACATCATTTACAAAAACAGATAGCAGCCTGGAATCAGCCCGTGGGCTATAGTATGCCATCCCCACTGTACATTATACATACAAGAACAAGAGGATTTGAGGTGATCCATTAAAGCAAACATTAAGGGTAATTTTTACTCAACAGTTCGTGTGATACAGGGGCGCCTTGGTGGCTCAGAACGTTAAGCATCTGCCTTCGACTCAGGTCATGATCCCAGGGTCCTGGGATCGAGCCCCGCATCGGGCTCCCTGCTCGGCGGGAAGCCTGCTTCTCCCTCTCCCACTCCCCCTGCTTGTGTTCCCTCTCTCACTGTGTCTCTCTCTCAAATAAATAAAAATCTAAAACACACACACACACACAATTCGTGTGATACAGTAAAAGTAACGCTGTGCTTAGTCAGCCCTCCAAAGTGGCTTGTGATCTCTGCATTATGTACAAGACTTAAAAGTTATCTAAATGTTGCCTCGAGTTCTTGGTAGAGTGATAGCATTTTCATGGGGCATGTTATTACCATCCCTTAGAGGATTCTCTTCCTTGCCATAGTTTTCCTTTATTTATTTATTTTTTTGATACAGTTGACACAATGTTACATTAGTCTCAGGTGTACAACATAGTGATTTGACAAGCCTGTATGTTATGCTATGTTCACCACAAGTGTAGCTGCCATCTGTCATCATATAATGCCATTACGCTACCATTGACTGTATTCCCTGTGCTGTACCTTTTATCCCCATGACTTATTCCTGTTTAGATCACTACAGCTTTGAAGTGTTATCTTGAAATCTGGGATTGCGATACCTCCAGCTTTATTCTTTCTCAAGATTGCTTTGGCTATCTGGGGTCTTTTGTGGTTCCATACAAACTTTATTTTATTTATTTATTATTTAAAGATGTATTTATTTGTGAGAGAGAGAGAGAGAGCACAGGAGCGGGAGGGAGGGCCAGAGGGAGAGGAAGTGAGGGAATCCAAAGCAGACTCTGTGCTGAGCCCAGAGCCCAGGACTCAGATCTCACAAGCCTGAGATCATGACCTGAGCTGAAACCAAGAGTCGGGGCACTTAACCAATTGTGCCACCCAGGCACCCCCCCCCGATACGAATTTTAGTATTATTTGTTCTAGTTCTGTAAAAAATACTGTTGCTATTAATAGGGATTACACTGAATCTGTAGATTGCTTTGGTTAGCATGGACATTTGAACTATTAATTTTTTCAATACTTGAGCATGGAATATGCTTCTGTGTGTTTGTGTCATCTTCAATTTTTTTTTAATCAACATTTCGTAGTTTTGAGAGTATAGGTCTTTTACCTCCCTGGTTACATTTATTCCTAGGTGTTTTTATTATTTTGGA